ATAAACAAGACACCTATAAAATGTTGCACTTTTCTTACCATCTTAAAGTGAATGCAGTTTTTCATTATTAGACTGTGAATATTAGTAAGTAAATTTTGATGCTGTAACCCATGGAAAACCACATTGCTACAGTGATTGTTATAACACAAGGTTTTACAACTTTATCATGGACTGTTTTAACAATAAAGCATACAAGCAATTAATATTTTAAGTTAAATTGAGTTTATATAAAAATATTTATTAGAAAAAAATTGAATGCAGATAAAATATATATTGTGGGAAGGAGAATGCATGTGAAAGAAAACAGGAAAGAGAATGATAGTGAGCGCATATTTAGAGAGCTTGATGTCTCCTGTTCATTAATTTTCTTAAAATATATCTACAGAGTATTACCATGTGCCTAGTTTTAAGCTGGCTATGGGGATCTTGTGGAATTTAAATCACAGGGGAAGAGGGGGATAAAGACAATGCATATATATATATAGCTACATTACTAAAATTGTGTATGTTAATAATTATGGGGTAAAGTCAGAAAGGGGCACCCTTGTGAGGTGACACTTGAGTTAGGGTCTTGCTAATGGATAAGAGTTATTTTGGTGACAAGTTGGAAGTATTTTGGGCAGAAAGAACACCAGGAGAGATGGCCTTGCAGCAGGAAAAGGTTGATATTTTAGGAAAACTGGAAAGAACTGGCTATAACATTGTAATCAAGGTGGAAATGACATCTGACTGAGGCACCTTTAAAGATACAGCTGATTCCAGATCACCCAAGGGATTCCAGGCTATATGGAAGGGATTTCACTATTGCTCCTTAGCACAATGAGAAACCACAGCAGAGATTTAGACAGGAAATTAACCTGGCAGCTTTGTCTTTCTGCAGTATTACACTGCCATGGTCTGTAGGAAACAGAGAAGAAGAAAGCTAATGTATGCCCACAGCAGAGACAAGGAGGTAGTAGTGCTCATACAGGAAGAAGACTATGGCGCCTTTCACTAGAGTGTTGTAAGAAAGGTGAGGAATACACAAAGATTCAAGATATAGTTCAGAAGTAAATTTCATGACTTATCATTCACTAGCTATGGTGGGGAGGAAAGACGTGTGTGTCACTTAAATTTGAATTTTACATAAAATATTTTGATTGTAAGTATTCCCATACAATATTTGTAACATATTTATACCCAAAAATTCATTACTTATCTGATATCGAAATTGAACTGGGTATCTGTAGTTAATTTGTTTAACTTGGCAACCTTAGCAAAGTGTTTGCTAGGTTTCAGTCAAGAGTAAGAAAAATTATTTATGGAGATGAGCAAAACTTGAGTATGTAGAATTTAGAACAAAAGAATCGGCTTTCATTATGTTTTTTTCCCACTCAAGAGGAAGCAATGGATAAATGAAAAAGGTTCAGGTGCCAGGACCATGCATAGATTCTTAAAGTGAGCTCAGATGGGTATCTATTTTAAACTCAGTAAGAAAGTAAGGAAACTTGGCTGAAATTATTTTTGTGCTGAGATCTCAGTGACAAGAAGTCAACTGTGCAAGAACACTCTGGTCAGGAAGAATAGCCCAATGATAATGGCATGAGTGAGAACCAGAGAATGGGGTAGGCACAGCAGGAGACTGCAAGGAAAGGTAGGGAAACATACAAAAGATGGATGATGCAGACAATGTAAAGAATTAGGATTTAATTCTAGCTATAAAGGGAAGCTATTGGAGGTCATTAGATAAAATGATCAGGTGATCTTATTCTGAAAGTTCACTCTGGTTGTGTGAAAGGAATTAATTGCAAATAAAGAGACCAATGAGTAGATATCTAAGTGATCCAGGCAAAGAATTCTGATGACTTTGAGTAGGATGAAAATAGTAGAGATGGAAAGAAATGGATGAATTAGATACATGTGAAGTAGTACTGAAAGAAGCTGCTGATTAATTGGACAAGAAAGATAAAAGACAGAAACAAAGGTTAATTGCAAATTTCAGGCCAGAGCAACTATAGAAGATACTACCATTCATTGATATGGGAGAATTGAGAGTAGAGCAGATCTGGAAAATGAAAAGGAAAATGAAAGGTTTTCTTTCGCTCAAATTTGAATTGTCTATTTCTGACCTATGTGGAGATATCAAGTAGGCTATTGTATATACAGAAGTTGAGAACTCTGGAAATAGCTGAAAGGGGGCCCAGGACTAAATCCTAGACTTTTAGCCATGGGAAAGTTACTATATGTCAAGTATTGTTCTAAGTGATATTTAGGTATTATTCCATTCCATCCTCACATAAACCTACTTCAGATAGATGTAAGTATCACATTTTACAAATGATGAAGTGAGGCAGAGAATTATTGAACAACTTTCAAAATTCATATAGCTTGATAACCAGAGTCAGGATTTGAACTCAAGGAGATTCAACTCAGAAGAAGGAGGAAGAGGAAGAGGATAAAGAAGAAAAGGAGAAGAAAGAAGAGGGGCAAGAAGAAGGAGAAGAAGAAAAGATAAAGATAGAAAAGAACAGTAGAAAAATGGTGAATAAAGTGAAAGAATAGTATTTTGTATTTGTCATGGGAGAAGTTCCTAAAGACAGAAACATTTAAAAAAGTAAAATAAATGAAAATTAATTCAAGCTCATCAAGGACATTTTCTGAATTTTCAACATCACAAAGCAAGCATGATGTCAAGACATGCAGAAAGGGACAAGGGTCTTTCAGAGGAACTAGAAGTACCATGGAGAAGGAAGAAAACTCTATTACAGGATTCTTGAGTTTTATATGAAAGAAGCACAAAAATGAAGCTTCAAATGGACAGTCGTTTTTGACAGTAAGTCAAATTTCTGTAGTGAGTTGGTCAGGGCTGTTTAATTGAGTAACTTTACCAACTAAGTCAAAATTGGAAACCATCACTGAGAGAGGGGATACGATTATGTCTATTGGGGATGTGGTTGGGTTAGCAATAAGTATCTGTAAATAAAACCCTAAGTGATACACAGCTAAAAGTTATCATTCCCTGCTAGTCGGTGATACTTCCCAAGATGCTCTTCCTGGGGTCTTGCGTTTGTTTAAAAATTTTTTTTAATATTTTGAAAACCTATTAATAGAATGCTTGATCATTCATTGTAGCAAGCATGTACATTAGATGCATCACCTGCATGTTAATCTATACCACAAGGGTCAAAGGAGAGTTCCCTGGACATTAAAAATATTTGAGAACTTTGCTAACTTCTTACTTTAGTGTCGTCAATGCTGCTCATGGCAATGTAAGGAGTGAAACAGGCAGCCAGTGGTATCCAGAAGAAGGCGCTGCTCAGGTACCCATAGTCATAAGACATATGTTCCTGAAATCACACAGAACATGGTGAGCAGATGGCAATGCTCATCTGGTTTATTTGAGCTGTCTTAGCTAAATTAGCCAAATAAAGGAGTTGGGCTAACCACTCCGGGCCCTTTCCAAGGTGCTATTTGCAGTTTCTTACCCCTATTCATTTTCAATCCTGTGTTGCAGTAACTTTGACATTTCAAACATGTATTCTAATGTACTTATGAAAATGCAACCTCAAGCAGATGGTAGGAACTGGATGGTCCTGTGGTTAACAACTTTTGAGGCAGGCATGAAACATCTGCTGTCTGTCTTTATGACTACAGCATCACATGCACTGATTCCATATATATCAACACTGACGGTGTAATAGAAAAGACATTGTGAACTACCAATGCTCTCAGAAACTGGTGCCAAATCAGTTCCATTCAATGTTGATGTAAATTCAGCCCCCTAGTTCAGCATAATGCCCAAGTGGCAAGTTCAAATGCCTTCAAGGACCTGACAGAGATTACCAAGCAAATATTATTAAAAAATAAGAGTATTGAGGCTTGGAGAAAAATAATTAGCACACACTCTATACAAAGACATTGAGGTTTTTTAAAAAATCATAATCCTATACAGGTTAAAGAGAACCTTGAGTTTTGTTACAAGCTTGGATTTATCTATAATTAATTGCCTAGTTACAATGCAAGTATCCTAAGTTTTGGGGTCTCTTTTCTACTACCTCCTTTTAAAATTAGTGTCCCTCTGAGATCTTACAGCACATAAAAATTGTTCAAATGAGGATGCCTATGTGATGATGAGGCCCTGAAAAGGGAATAAAGGACACCAGTGACTACATTAATCAATTCATATCTTTGCCTGTGGACACCATGATTAATTTTCCTGATTTGCAAGTCCTCTGTGTAAGGATAAGTCACAGTCTCAACAGCCAGCTTCCTTACTCATGACTTGGTTCATAAACAACATATTATGTCCATGTTAGATTATATCCACCCATAGTCAGAGTTTGGTGAGGCTCGACCTGAAGAGGACTCACAGAAAGACACATACCAAACTGGGCAGTTTGGTCAGGCGGGGATTCATTGAAGTGGCTGGTTGGTTGCACTGTAGGAAATTCCCATAGATGATGAAGGCCACTGAGTGGCATCAGAAGCAAGGTCTGACCTACAGTGAACACTGTGCTTTAGGATCTAGGAGAATGAGTTTGCAGAATTGTAGGAAAATGTCAACAGCTGGATGGGAAAGCAGCAGTGGCAAATTAAAAGGAGCAACTTTACATAAAAAATCAAAGTCATCTGGGCATTTGGGTAAAAAATACTTTGGAGTTAAGACATCTTTTCAAAGGCAGAACTTCAAGTCACTTGCTCCTTCTTGGGAACAACCTATTCTTGATTTTCTAGAAAACTGACTAGTCTACTTGAATCTGACACCTAATGAAGCACACTGGCGCCTCTATGTACTGTAGTTTCATCAGCTGTCTTACAGTAATAATAATAATAATAATATCTCAAAGTCTTATTGGAGTATTTATAAATGTCAGTGCAAGGCACCCACATGGTAAATACTCCTTTTGTCTTAGAAGGAAGGAAGATACTGATGCAATATACTTTGGAGTAACTCTGAAATTATATTTTCAACTTGACAGTAAAGGAAATATAAACATTAGATAATTAATATCATTGAAAAGCTATATTTAGATGTGATATTGTCTTTTAGATTTTTAAAGAATTCTTTAATAGATAATGTATACTAAAATACTTAGAAATAAAGTGATATGGTTTCTGGGATTTACTTCAAAATAATCCTGGAAGAGG